ATCAAGAGAGGACAGTGAGAGAGTACAACAAACAGCGGTTTAAAAGAAAGCAAATAAAATGCCTGGGTGCATTTCTTGAAATATTCAATCTTTGTCTAAGCACGCAATTGTCAAGGCAAGTGTTGGCAAGACGCCATTTATGTCATTGTTTCGTGTGCATCTTTTTTACTGCTCGTCTTTATATTTTTGGTCACTAGACAATGACAACGCACTTGAGATATTGTAACCAAATAATAAAAGTACAGTAGTAATGATGCTCATTATTTTTATGTAACTTTTTCTGTCATTAACAATCGTGTTAAGGTGTAATTATCCACACACAGCTTGCGCTTGGCACAGATAGCGTGGTATAAATCAGAGAAAATCCATAAAGATTGAATGCAGTGTAGACATGGAGCATATTGGTCACGAAATGCTTTCAGGTGCATCGAGTAGAATGGAATTCGGTACGTAATTAACTTTGCTGCCAGTGAGCCTTAACCATCCAAACATAGACATTGAACCACAACCCATGTGATCATAGCCCTTTACAATAATAATAAAAAATACCAGCTGCTTTAAGTGCTGTATAAAATCTCAACTGCATCTTGTAGAGCACTGAAATCTATTGCAAATATTATTTTGAACATCAAATATTAATTATATTAATAATTGTTTTTATACAGTACAATTTCACAGATCTGATCTTCTCATATCTGCCCTAACAAATTAACCTCCCACACCCGGGGCAGTTTTTTTGCACGGTGTAGCTTTTTAATTTCAGATGTTCACAAATCTGACCTTTTCACATTCAGTGAAATATTCTTAATGTCGTGTATGTTCACTCACTTCTCTATGTATGTTGAACTTCTTTCACACCATACGTCGCGGAGTGAAGCATGTCCCCAGGATCACAGCAGTTTGCCTATCATTTTAGTCCAGTAACCTATGTATTCTCGATGGTGTAACGATCATTTTATACAGATGTTCATATAATCCTACCTTTTTCACATATCCGCCTAAACAGTACTTCAATGCCATTGTCTGTCTTGTGGAACCTTCGTGACGAAACCCCTTGGCATTTACAGAGTCACGTAGAGCTTTGGCATTTCAATAACGGCATATCATTGCACAATCGCTGTACGAAATGAGGCCGTGTGATGGAGCCCGCTGGTGGCCCCACGCTGAAGAGGGAACTCGCTTGCCATTGCCTCACCCCATCCCCCAGCTCTGTGGAATTTTTCCGCAAAGTGTCAGATGCTTCTCATCAAGCACGATGCCGTTTTTTTTTAAATAACGGTTCATGACCACCTGTGCGCTTACGAAGTGTAACATGAACTTATTGAAATGTTTATGAAATGTAGAATAAGTGAATTGTTTGCCCCAGAATAATGTCAACAGAGTCTATGACCAGATCACCGAGAATTCCCCAGATCTCGGAAACTAAGCCTGGGTTGAGCCTTGGCCAGCGCTCCTAAAACTAAAACTATGAACACTTTTTTTTAATTTTACCAGGTAAGGTCCACTGAGCTATATAGCTCTCTTTCAGACACGACCTGACGACAATGATAGCTCAACGAAGTTGCTTACATTGTAGACATTACAGCATCCAAACACTCTAAACGCATGTTCCTCAATGTGGAAGGAAAAACCCGGAGGAGCCGGAGAAAAATTCACGCGACCACGGGGAGAACATTTGCAGGTGTCGGAGGCGAGATCGAACCCACGACCTCCTGCATACCAGGCAAAGGAGTTAACATTTCACCCCCACGGCGCAATGCACAGTGGGTGTTACCACCTGCGGGCAGCAGAGGGCACTCCAACAAAATATATTGTTATATCGTACTGCTATGCTCCCGTGTGTATGCTCCCATCAGCCTTCAGCGACCAGCGTGGTGGAGTACATACGGGAACACACTTCCCATGACTCACACGGTGTGGAGAAGGCCCTGACCCAGCAGTGGACTGGCCTAGGGCTGTGCATGTGCACAACATCAACACAGTGCTGCATCTGTACGAGGCATACCAGTTGCCTCCTTGTTGTCTCTTCGCTTGTTTTAAGAGTAATCGGAGCGAAACGGGTGAGGTCACCAGCGACGTGTCAGGAACAGCCTGGTCACACTGGCGACAAGCACTGAACACGTCCCATCTGTTTAGACAAGGGGCCAAGTGAGCATACAAAGAACTCAGCGTGTAAACAAAATGTTGCGTTACATTTCTGCCTTTTGGCAAAGTGCTTCTGCTGTGTAGACAAGCAAATGGTTTTGAAGTGCTGAATATAATGAATGTATGGACACAAGATGCTCCACTGCATGCCTCACTAATTTAACACGGAGGCTTTCGCGAGCAATCTCACCCGACACAGCCAACCAGTGAGGCTGTGTCGGGTGGTGGCGGGTTTAACGACATATTTATATATTTATGCGATCTAACACAAAAAACCCTATTATTGACCTCAATAATTGTCAGTCCGGTTAAAGACATTTCCTTTATTGCCATCGTCAGCCGTGCTCAATCCACTGCTGGATGAAGCCTCCCCAAACCGTCGCCCCCTCCCACGGTTCTGCCATGTAACATTCCACCCAACTCCTGCACACGAGTCAATGTAATCGTTCATTCTCCTCAATGGATACCTTCTTTGAGGCATTCCAGTCCTTGGTTGCCACTCCATCCATCGCTCTTCTTGACCATCGATCATCATCCCCTCTAGCAACGTGTCCTGCCCTAACCCGCTTACTTTTATGAGCAGTTTAAACGTTGTGTGTAGGCTGCATACACATGCTTTCTACTCCACGTGGCTCAATATACATTTTAAGACATCGTAGAAACGGTCCTTTAATATGGCCACACTTATGACTAAATCGCCCGAAATGCTCCTGACCTCATCAGGTCTCAGCAGGAGCTGAGCTGGGTTGAGCCCGGAGAGTGATTGGACGGGTTCAACACAGTTGTGGGTTCAACACAGTTGTGGGTTCAACACAGTTGTGGGTTCAACACAGTTGTGGGTTCAACACAGTTGTGGGTTCAACACAGTTGTGCTGTCGGCTGCTGCTCTGGGGCTACGTTGTCAGCAGAGGGCAGTTCAGGAAAAAAAACATTGTTGAACTGTACTATGCTCCAACGTCAATGCTACCCACCTTCACCAATCCACATTGAACAGCAATGTGGAATGTGGTCAAATAACCACCACGACCTGCATGGCACGGGAATGCCCTCGTGAGGCTGTATATTTACAAACTATATTAATAAAAATACATTTTTATTTTACTCGGTAAGCCCCACTGCTATATCGCTGTTTTTAAGAAGCGACCTGGCTACCACAAATGATAGCTCAACGAAGTGCCTTATCGTGCGGAAGTGTATAGCAGCCAAAGACTAAACGCGTGATGTTTCTAAATGTGGAGGGAAAAAGTGGATGACCCGGAGAAAAATCCACGCGACCACGGGGAGAGAGACACGCAAACTGCACATATACAGCAGGCGTCAGGGTCGGGATCGAACACACGACCTCCTGTATGCCGGGCGAGGTAGTTCACATCTCACCACCGTGGTGAGATGTTAAGGACTGCACATGCACTATATTATCTCGTAATTATCATTGCACACGATAGTTTTTTTAAAAAAATTTGATTGATCAATGCAAAGCGGTGGAGGCAAAACAGGAATAACGTTAGATGTGGCTCTTCTCATGTCTCTAAACCTAATAACCTCCCTTCATTGTCGAGCTATGTGTCGGATCACTGTTTCTAGACAGCCGTTCGTTGAGGTGCATTGTCTGGTTAATTTATTCGGATATAAGCATTCATACATTGTGTCCTTTGACATTTAGAGAGGAGAAAAAAAACCTGTGTATAAATATGTTACTGTTAATGTCGTGTTTGCTTGTTAAAGGCAGCCCTGTTTCTGAAACAGGCCATAATCTGTTCCATATGTCCCCGACTAAAGAAAAAGCAGCTATTCCGATTGGCGTATTGTGTGCACTGTGTTTAGCAGAACGTTCCTATGGCATGCGTTTTTATATTTGGCATATCCCACGGGACAACCGTAAGTGAAGAACGATGAAAGCAAAATGTTGTTCAGAATTTTAATTATCTCTACTTGAACTAAATTTTTAAAACATGTAGACATCCAGAATTTGTATTTGGGTGGCATGAATACGCCAAGGCACAAATATATATTTTGTAGTCAATGGTGAGTTGCCTCCTTAAACAGATTAATGTATTTGAAGAAGCCATACAAATGTATTATTGACTATTATTATTGAATAGCCCCTTGTCAAGGACAAACTTGGCTTTGACTTTTACATTTGTACCACGAACATTTAAATAATATATGTAAGTAAAACGCGTTGCTCTTTTGAATGAACATTGTATTGTCATGCATTATAATGAAATCGTAGAGCAGAGACCACGTGTTTATTTTACATTGCAATTTCAGGATTTATTACTTCTGTTATATTTGAATTATAATAATCTGATTTTAATAACATTGGCATTTTTCACCTTCTACAATTCGTCACGTTATTGCTGGCGATCACTTCTAGTATTACATTGTATGTAATATGGCTACATTTATTTATAAGTATATTTGTTGTTTAGTAACTTAATTACATTTTTCAAAATGTCAGTTATCAAAATACGTGCTTCAATTCATAATCCGTTTTAAACATCGTGTACAATAATAATTCTGAATTATGTTTTTGCTCATTGTTACACAATGCAAGTTAGATTTATTGGAGGCTCAACGAGACACATGGTGTGCTGATAGCTCCTCCTTTTTTGTTAGCCACACCCACTTTTACATAAACACGCCCACTAAGCAACTCGTACTGCTCACAGTGGTGAGGTCACTCTGCAGAGACCCCGCCTGCCAGCCCCACCCACTTCTCGGCAGGCCGCGCCCTTTCCCCACATCATGAGCCGAGTGTGAGGCAGGAAAACTTCAAACTGGGACAAAATCCCTGGATTAGGGTCTCGTCATGTTGTGTGGGTTGTGAAGGTTGGCCATACTTCACCATACTTGTCAGTGCGGGTTGGTGAAGGCAGGGAGCATAGACTCGGGTGCATAGAAGTGCAGTACAGTACAATGATGGTCATGAGTTTATTTTTAAACAATAATTTCTAGCAACGTAGCTTTTGTTTCGTAGCGTTTTGTATATTAATATGTTGCTTATCACTGGATGGAATTTAATCTGATAGAATGAAGTGATCAAGATATCCTGTAGCCAAAATCGAATTTATTGCCTAAATGGGACCAATGTGTTCGGCTTTGATTCTTGACACTTTTGCGTCACGAGGGCTGTAGGATAAAACACAATGACGATATGCCGCCCTCGTTACACACCCTGGCAGAATAGCCCGACGAAAACGAATGACACCGCTGCGTTTAGAACTGCCTGCTTCAGCATGTAGCGGTTTTACGAGCCTGGGTTCTGTGCGGGCGATCTTTTGTTTGTTCGAATACCTCGAGCAGACGCTTATTTAGTTCACCAAAGACTGCCCTTAACAGACGTGGCAACGTGTCAAGTTGGGATAGTGCCTGGTCCCAATGTCATTTTCCTCTTGAAAATAACGGTTCTGCAGTTCCTACCCCCAGCACTGCTCCGCAAGGAAAAGGGTGAAGCTTATTCGCCTTCCTGTGTGCCCCCACGTGTTTCACCATCGCCAGCTTGCAGAGATTTAGTGCGCCAGGTTAACAGGCTCCACATTGAGTCTTAAATCAATTTAATCTGCTGAGCAAGATATATTGCTTTGTGAAACATGCAGCGCTCAACCATCTTAGGCGTTGCATTTATAATGGGCTTGTTACAATGAAAATGAGGTCCGCTTCAGCCACCGTTTGTTCCGAAGTCACGCAGCGAACCAAGAGTCAATAATGAAGTGCACCTCGCAAACGAAGTCTGCGAACCAGGCCTGGCTCCAGCTCCTCTCGGATTGGGGTATGGAATAGGAGCATCACGCGGACTCCGGTCATCCTCGCAGCGCCTTTAGGCTGACCATTGAACAAAGAAGGCCACTGCATCGCGCTTTTCGGTGCGCTTCTGCTGCCGTCTGGAACGCTCTTCCGATATTAAGAAGCCACTGGAGCTATACACTTTTAAAGCTAGATTGAAAACTAATTTCCTTCGAACTTATGTTGTGTTGAGTTTGTTGTCCTTCCCCCGTATCTCCGATGAGCACGGTTGGCTACATACAGTCCGAATTAAGTTCAACATCGTACATACAATCAATAGATCGATTGTGTGGGCCACCGTAACGGTGATGTACCGCTACGAGAGTGGTCTTGAGTGGGCCACAGGGACGTTTCGTGGTGCCCACCTCAACAAGAGCAACGTGTGTGTGGGGGATAACATTGCTTGAATTCGGGGATTTCTAAAGACACATTGTGACAGAGTTATTACGCGATGTAAATTACCTGTATTTGCCACAATCCTGATCAAGCTGGTTGTAATCACTAGCGAAACGTCGTACTCAAATTGTAAATGTTGTGGGTGTGCGCTCCAATACACCAGTGTTCTGAAGTAGTAACTAATTGGCACGTTTTGGGTGGTGGTGGGTTAACGACATATTTATATTGACGCAATCTTACCAAACAAAACTCTTTATTATGAGGACTGTACCTCTTTACTGTATTCCAAATACTGCACATTGCTGTGCTGGAGTTGTTAAACTATATTTTAAAATTGAATTAAGTATTCAATATGTTTCATATTAGTGATTTAATACCTCATTGATGACTGTGATGTACTTCAAAGCTCTGTGTAATCTTATATTATAAATAGTCTTGCACTTCAAATGTTTTTGCATGCCATACTTTTGGAGCTGTACGTTCAGATATACAGTACAGTATATCTACAAGTCACTTACATACCACTATTAATGGAAAACATTTCAGTTATTTTGATTAGTTTGAAACCTGTGAATGGAGCCGTACAAGATTAACTTCCCATCGTGCCAAACCTCGTATGCCATAATGGGAGCGGTGCTTAGCCAACATTGAAAAAAGGGGGCCTCAGAGGTTCTCAAACAGAGACGCGTTGTGATACGAATATAGAAATCGTACATTTGCAGGCATTAGTTCTGCTCTTGAGCAGGGGACACAGCGCTCTGGGCATTTCTTCGTCATTGTAAGTTGGAGTTTTACGCCTCATCTGAAGCATTGGGTTAAGATACTGCACCATGCACAATACATGTAACGTTCATACTGCCAGTTTTTGTAGTAAAGTACAAGACTATTACTATTGGTACATTTTGAGAAGAGTATATTTTATCATTGTCCATCAAGCAAAACCTCTGTTCCAGAAATAAGACAATTATTTTTATATGACTATGTTGTGTGATTCGTTAACTCCATATAACACTGACAAGCCTAAATTCTGAAGGTGAATCTCTTCTTGGAAACGGGAATATCAATATGAGGTGGAGCCTGCTTCCTCGCTTCACATTCAAGCAAGGGAAGTGGCTGCACATAAATTGAATGCCGACAAAGAATTATTATATCATTTGTGGACGCTATACCGGGGCACTACCAGACACCTCCTCGCTTTTCAGGCATCGTTTTAAAAAAGGTAATGACTGCACTTTTTGTTTCATTCTCATGTGCTTGTGATAGTTCTTACGATGATAGTTATCGACGGTTCTGTATACATAGTTGTACATTGCAGCTGAAATAACGCATGCGTTGCTCGACCAAGTGGCTTATGAATGCCACTCTCATTTCAGCCGCTAAGGCTCCGTTGAGCTCAGCATCTCTGTTACAAGGATAACGACATCCCACACCTTTGGCAGTGTCGGCAGTTACATGACATTGTAGGGAGGGAATGTGCAAACTCACAAGGGCAAAACAAACATTCGTATGAAACATGCAATTTGTTGTAAACGTGATTCAAGAAATAAGATATATATTGTCTTTTAGCTTCCTTTACTAGCTCACTCGCAAGGGCCGAGTGAAGTTCCTGTCCCGTTCCTCTGAGTCATCAGAAGCTATGCAAAGCCCTTTGCGGGCTCGTGCATTACTTAGCTGCCGATGGCTGTGGGAGAGAAAGCAGTGCCACGTCCCGGTTCCAGACATCCGTAGCAAATCGCAGCCGCCGCCTTCCTGTCATGAGCCCCTCATTCATGTAGCCCCCATAACACTACATTCTGTAACATTGCTTCTGGCGGCTCTCGTTATTGACAATGTAATAGTGAGCATATCAAAACATTTGTTTGCAGTTCGGTGGACAACAATGTGCAGTGCTGGAGATATCTGAAAAGGAATGCTAAATAATATTCTGTATTGGAGCATTTTGTCCGTGTGTGTGAACTTCTGCTGCACCAAGACAGTGCAGCGAGTTACGGTCATTTAAGTTAGACTTCATCGTTTGCAGACTTACCGTGTGCGCTAGGGTATGCCACAGCATGCACGCTCTGTTTAAAGGATGATTACGTATGTTGCGTTTGTATTTTCTACTTTGTACAGCCAACAGCCTAAAGTTCAGTTAAGAGTATTTTGTTAAGAGTAAACTCCTGCCATCCAGTCATATTACCAACGACTCCCATTACCCACGGGAGATGTAGGGTCTGCTAATACTCCAATTATTCGTGGCAGTGTTCATCCTATAATCTGCAATTTGTTTCAGGCCGTTAATTTTAACACATTTATGTATAGCCTCACAGATAATTATTGGATCCACGATGTTTGTTCTTCACATTGCTGCAGATGCATATTTATATTCTACTTCAATACGTATTATTGCCTTCCCTACTATGGGCACTTGATGTTTTATCGGAATGCACATTTTATTTGCCTTTAGAAATGCATGGAAATGTATCTTCTCAAAGTACAATCGATCATTATTATTATGTTACATTATTAATCATGGATGAGAGAGGCACAATCGCTTACTGGTGAGCGCACTGCGCTATGAACTCAGAGACCTGAGTTTCATTCCCAGTCACGGCCACCTTCCACTCCTCCCAACAGCATCAATCGGCATTGACCCGAGCTTGGTGAAATATGGTCAAACGACCCCTACGAGCAACACGGCATCCTGCATTGGATTGACGGAGGGTGACATTAATTAATGTGCATAATACAGTATGGTAAAATAGTTATCGTATGGTTCAACTCCTACTCTTTGGGTCTACTGTAAAGTCACGTAGATAGATATATAATAGATCACCACGTTTCCATCGCAATACAGGCAATCGTTTGTGTTGATGTGGGGCCTACTATTTGGGAAGATCCTATTGATTAAAATCCGCAAAAATAACTAATCTTATCTAGCCGTGGAAGAATGCAAATACATGTATGAATATGCACCACGACTCTGGTTCTCCATAAAAAATGTGCAGTTAGGAGGATGAATTTAACGCTCGGAGTGACCACTTCCAAGTGACTATTATCTGCCAAATATTGTGGAAAATAGGAAGAATCGCCCCAGCAGGAGTTTTCACTGATAGATTCACGGCTGTAGATAATAGGTGTTGCAGATAATTTGAATCGCAGATAACTGACATGTCCCTGCGCTGTTTGACATCGTGGTCCACTTGACCCCAGGCCATGCACACAATCACGCTTTGACATTTTTTGTTTCAATGCTTTCCTGCTGAGTTCACGTTCCAGGGCTAGCTGGCCATTTGAAGAATGCGAGTACGTCATACTTGCTTCATGGCACTGTCACACTTTAGTGAGTGTGAAAATGCTGGCATTGTTTCATTACATTCCCATATGAGCTTATATATGACATTTTAACGAGCTAACTTCTTACACATTGCAACAAAATGTATCGTACTGTCATTTGTTTCATTTCAACTTGCATTCAGGACCTTCCTCCTCACTCTGTAAAAGTATTTGTATACATGCACATTATGCAGTATCATCCATTTGCAAGCGTTTGCACTTTCAATAATGCTTACTCTGTGTTCATTATTTCCGTGGTATATACAGTCAAAGGGTTTCTTTGTTTAGGGTTGTATTTGTTAAGGATTTGATGCGTTCAGGGTTTTATTAGTTTTTTAAAGGCTTGAGTTATTTTCTGTGGAGCCTTGTGTAAATTGTACTGTGTGAAATCACGTTTTAGGTTGTGCTAGTTCATTGGGGGTGCAAAGCAGAAACGATTTGGGGATCCATCTATCATTTGGTAAAACCCGAGTGAGATGACAATACATAAGACAAGAGATGTAGTAAGATAAGTGAAGGAAGATGCAGACAATATAGAAATGAGCGAGATTATGTGTTTTACTGTTAATTATGTGTTTTACTGTTAATTATGTGTTACTGTTAATTATGTGTGTTACTGTTAATTAAATTATGTTTATTCGTATTTCAATTTGAGCTTATATTTGATGAATCCATATTTCTTCATGATTCCAGCAGCCCTTTAGTTTTTTGGGGCCCTAAGCTGTTACTTGGCTCGCTTGTGCCTAGCGCCACTGCTGTGTCAGAGTAGCGAGATGTTAACTCCCTCGCCTGGTGTGCAGGAGGCCGTAGGTTCGACCGCGTCGCCTCTTTATTTGAAGTTCGCAAGTTCTCCCCGTGGTCACGTGGATTTTTCTCCGGGTACTCCCGTTTTTCTCTCCTCATTCAGAAACATCACGCGTTTAGAGTATTTAGCTGCTATACATTTCCATATGATGATGGTGATAAGCCACTTTGTTGAGCTCTCATTTGTGGCCAGGTCACTTCTGAAAAAGAGCTACATAGCTCAGTGGCCCTTACCTGGTAAAATTAAAAAAAATAGTCGTACTGAAATGTGTTTCGTGTCATTTGCTGAAATGGAAAAGCGGGAATACCTTCACCATGGCCTGCATTGCGGCTCATTTCCCAACTGTAGTGGGATTGCACGCGATTGCTGCAAGAAGCAGCAGTGTAGCCTACGCAATTCCATACATTCCTCATGTGAAACGGGTTCATGTGTAACGGGTCAATGTGTGACGGGTTCACGTGTAATAAGTTAACGTGTAATGAGTTTACGTGTAACGGGTTCACGTGTAACGGGTTCGTGTGTAATGAGTTCACGTGTAACGGGTTTACGTGTAATGAGTTTACATGTAATGGGTTCGCGTGTAACGGGTTCATGTGTAACGGGTGCGCGTGTAAGTAGTTCACGTGTAATGAGTTCACGTGTAACGGATTCGCATGTAATGAGTTCAGGTGTAATGAGTTCGGGTGTAATGAGTTCACGTGTAATGAGTTCACGTGTAACGGGTTTACGTGTAATGAGTTTACATGTAATGGGTTCGCGTGTAACGAATTCATGTGTAACGGGTTCGCGTGTAAGTAGTTCACGTGTAATGAGTTCACGTGTAACGGGTTCGTGTGTAATGAGTTCACGTGTAACACGCTCAGACGGATGGAGGGGGGGAGTTGCACAGGGACCCTGGGCCGGCCTGCCACGTCGAGGATTCATTGCCTGGACCCAGGTCCAGCAGTGTTTATGATTTCTTGGGGATTCGGACAAAGCAATGCTTTTTGCAGCAAAATTGGTGGCCTTTAATTATTTATTGATGCACATTTGCCGTGTTGTTTATGTTGCTTTATGGGCATGGATAAAGCTTTGTGCGGAGTATTTCAACGGAAAACCAGGAGTTGTTTGATATTTTTGTTCAATGCATCTTTAGAGAGGCCAAAGAAAACAGCGACTGAGTAATGAAACGGGAGTTATTGTTTACAATACCAGTAAATATTTGCCAAATTGATTGTAATATCACTTTTGGTCAAAGCCTTAACGTATACAGTATGGCCAACATGTAATAGCACAATTGGTAGAGCATTGACAGTTATTTGTATAAACAAACTGTGATGTGGCCCCAGTGTAGAGCATGCACAGTTACTCTCGACATATATATACCGTGATGTGAACCCGGCGACCTGAGACCGATTCCCAGCCAAGACTAACATCAGCGGTGGTTGATATCTGAATCTGAATCAGTCCTCTGGGTTCACCCCATTCCACCAACTTGCAATGAGCAACATGCTGAAGGGTGGTCGTACAACCCCCATGACGAGGCACGGTGGGGGAGACATTCACTGAGCACGAGATTAGCAAAGGGCTGCAAGTAAGTACTTAAACATTACAACAATAACGTGGCCACCATTGGCAATCGACATGGAACAATTCCATCCCCCTCCCCAGCCATTCTGTGAATTGGCACAATTTATGGAAACGATTCGAATAAATACATTTTATTTTAGATCGCCCCGATTCTATTTTGGTCTCGATTGCAAATTCCTGTTCACTTTATTATCCTAAATTTAAATGAATGATATGTGATGTGGGTATTGCATTTTTATTAATCGTAAAAAAGACATTCTTTACGCATGATTAGATCACACGTGTCATGAGCACAAGCATCAAATTCGTGAATTAGTTGCTGTATCGTGCATTCTTGTATTTAAAATTAGTGATTTTAAAGTGCTTTGAGAAGTTGCACAAGGTCCCGACTGTAAAGTGGTATTTCAAAAAAAGTGAATGGGTTGAAAGCAAAAAACTGTTCCAATGTTTCAACTCGTGAGAGCTGAAATGGTGTATTCTAAATGAAGTACTTTGTCCCACAGCCTGACTCAGTTCAGAGCTGTCAGCTT